TATAATTATTTGCCGAAGCCCCTTTTCAATTACAATTTTGATAAAATACATTAACACGGAATAGAGAAATAATTTTGCGTGAACAAGCCAAAGAAAGTTATCAAAATTCAAAATGATTTTATGCACCAATGTTAGGAACTGCGATTTAATGTAAGATCGGTGAAGTATTCTTACTGATTCGATTAAATAAAAAAAACACAATTTTCTATTAATTGATAGGTCTTTGTACACAATGGATTTTAAACACGATCACAGACACTTGCTTTGTTTACGACAACAGGTGTCTGGTAGACTAGTGACCTCGATCGGCAGCGTGGGATTGGAGCGTTTGATTACATAACTGTTACAAACATCTAGGCTGGCAAACGTGGAGATCAACTAAATGATCGTGAATTATTCGATTAATAAAAGTTTAAAATTACTTATAATAATAATTAACGTAGAAAGATAGATTTAATATATTCCGATGAAGACGTGTTCACTATAAAACTAATTAATAATACATAAAAAAAGAAAGACTAATTAATTGTTATATAAATAATTTAATAGTGAACCGTAAAGCATGTATAAAGACCTTTTTAGTAGAAATTTAACAGTAAATACCATAGAGTATATTATTGATAAGAAGTTTGTGTAAATTATACACATGAAGAGGTCTGATTTCATTTCCGAATGAAAAACGTTACCTGTTTACCTGGCCTGCTTTCTACTTCGTGTTACGCAATATCCCCGGTATATTCGAACAAGTAAACATTCTCATCAGATCAATAAGGTGTTAAAGAACAATTTTGCTCGTGAGATCCAGATCGAAATATTTACCGTTTTTGAGTTATAAAGCAAAGTCTTCCAAGCTCCATAGATCCCTAATTTTAGGGGCCAGCCCCTTTTCTATAGTATCAAATGAAAGCTCTTGCAATTATGCATAACTTTTCTTCTACATTTTTTATCAAAATATTTTTAGTTTTCAAGGTATAAAGGAAAATGTCAAATTTTTTGCTGTTTTCCGCGTTCTAACTTTTGACCCCTCTCTAGCGCCATTTTAAATGCAAAAATCAAAAAACAAAAATCGATGTGCACAACTTCAATGCTTCTTCTTTTCAATTTCAAAGGGCTTTGTGCTCCAGTTGTTACCATTTCTGAGCCTTTGTCTGGAATACAGAGGTATGAAAAATTCAATCAAAGGGGAATAACTCTTAAATAGAAGGTAATTTCCGAATTAAGTAACAATATTTGAAAAGGGTTTGGGGAAGTCTAAATGCTCTGAAAATTTGAACAAAATCCGTTCAGGAATGAGGAAGATATGAAGCTTCAAAGTTGGCGTCTAGGAAAAAAAAAGAATAGTAAGAATAATCTTAATCATCAGAATCAGTAGAAGGTCTTCCGTTGGAAACGGAAGACCTTAATAATCTTAATCATCAGAATCAGTAGAAGGTCTTCCGTTGGAAACGGAAGACCTTAATAAATAGATATTATTAGGTAAGAAGACCAACATTAATAATACATAAGTAAATAAATAGATATATTAGGTAAGAAGCAAGGGGCAATCATCAATTAAAAATCAATGTCTTTGGTTTTTTGATGAAACGGTTAGATTATTCAGAGCATACGCTAGATAATGATTACTAGAAATCTCTTTAACCCATTCGAACACGTCATTACTTAAAACCCATTTTCATTGGCCATTACTCAGTACACAATTACCCGGTATAAGACTTCCGTTCCGACTGAAACAATTTGTTTACATGTCGTTAGGACAATTATTTCTCGCTATACTTCGTAACGCGAGAAATTTTAAGTCCACACTTCACTTCACTGACATAAACAACAATACATTTGTATGCATTTCAGCGCACTGTGAGATGACTAGAAATAACCAAAGAAAGGGAGAGAAGTGTGCGTGGTATTTTTTTAAAAACCATTTATTTTTTTTGGGTCGTACTTTTGTTATACATATATGACACAACTTTTTCTTTAATTCTTAGCTTGTCCACGAACTTTACGGACATCCCTCGTATATATACTCAGTAGTTCTTCCATTAAAAATATGAACAATTGAAAATAATTAAACTTGTTTCTGACATTTAGTTAATTGACCTGAAAGTTGCAACTTTTATTGCTTTAAACTTTAAAGTAAAGATAACAAAACTAGAAAATAAAGAAATTTTTTAGTCTTGGGACAATTAATTTTTCAACAACAAAAAAGTGTTTAGGATCAGTTGGATAAAAATGTGGGGAAATTCGAAGTTAATTATTTATACAAATAAGACAGAGTTTAATGAAATTTTAAAAAACCTTAAAAATTTATTAAAGTCCCTCAAATAAAACAACAAAGGTAACAGAGAGGAAATATAGAAGAATTTTCTATTGTAAACTTTAAATTTTAAACTTTTTAAATTGAAAAGTTAGTTGTAAGCATAAGTGATAAGATCGCAATAAATATACGTAATATGAAATATTTTGTTTTTAAAATGTTGTCCATTCTATTCAGTAAAGAGAAAAAAAATATGGATGAAGAAATTGAGGAACTATTTCTTTGGAACAACTTTTTTAAATGAATATAATTTAAACCAATGACTGATTATGTCTGTTTAAAACAAAGAGGTGATATGTACTGCTAGAAGTGCAAAATAATAGATGTACATGTATTTACAAAAACGAATGTTCATCTATATATCAAATAAAAGAACCAATTAATTTGTACAACATAAATGCGTCAGCATTTGTACAAAAATATTTAAATGTTGTCCACATTACAAAAAAAGCAGATGCGTATTTAGAATTTGCAAGAATTTAAATGAATTATCAATAATAAATTAAAACTATAATTTGTAAATTAATGCTTGTAAATCCATGTATGTAAACAGCATAGAATAATTTTATGCTCTTGTTTGATGAGTGTGGGGTTGCACTGGAAAATATGCTTATTGATAAGTGTGTTATTCCGTTAGTATACAAGAGTCTTGTGAAAAGAATTTACCTAATATCAGAAATATTAATTATATTTTTTTATTTAATTAGATATATAATATTAGATTTGATAAAAGATATACTTGGATATTTTACTTGAAAAAGACGTTAATGGTAATTTAAAAACCAAGCTATATGATAAACGTGATAACTTAACTTTTCTATTGTCAACTTCCTTTACTTATGCAACAATATACCTTTATCATCTGCACACGGAGTCTATATATCCCAGTTGATTCGTTACGCAAGAGCATGCTCTACGTATGAACAATTTCTAAAACGAGGTCAATTATTATCAAACATGTTGTTGACACAAGAACATCAGCAGTCTCGTTTTAAGTAATCATTTCGTAACTTCTATGGTCGATACAAAGACCTTGTCAGCACATACAATTTATCATTGAGTTAATTGCTGACTGAGGTTTTTCATAACAATTGTTAGTCCATTATTCTACACTGAATTGACGACGGATTTTCCCGTTATTTCATTATCATGACAAGGAGCACACGGCAGGTGTAATCGGTCAGCAGAGGATGCTCACTCCTTCATGGCACCTGATCCCACCTCTGATGTTTCGGAGGTCCGTGTTTGCTCTGCTCTTATTTTGTATTGTTTTATGGACTTTGATATTGTTATTGTTCGTTATCTCCATATCCTTCTTACAATGTTTTGGAAACTTTAAAAATGCTTTTGTAACATTTTCAGAAAAGAATCTTACAATACTATGCTAAAATTTTTTGAAAAGAAAAAATTTTGAAAGCTTTTGGGGAAAAATTGACAAAATCGAGATCAAAACATTTTGAAAACCTTTATATGTTGTTGAAATTTTGAAAATTGGAAAATTATTAGGCCTACTATTATATAAATATTGTTTGATTCTGAATCATTTCATTTACCAATAAACAAACGATACCCCCCCCCCCCCATATTTTTAGATTTTTATTTTCTTGAAATAATTTCAAAAGAAACCACACAATCTTTTTATTTCCCATTACCGGCGTTGTCTTTATACATGTACGTAACACCTCCCTATGTAGGGTATCAGTTGGGATAGGTGTACCTGATCTTAGTTGTTGTTTTATCAATTTACTGACATTTTATAAAAAACATATTTGACGGTAGATCACTTAAATATTTTGAAATATATCATCAACCTAAGAAAATTCAATTTTGGACACCCCCCCCCCCCCACACACACACAAGAAAAAATAACTAATAAAAAATTGTTAAAAAATAAAAATAAATATTATAAAGATCTATTCTTATTTGTCTGTTATAAAAAAAAACAGAGACGTCTCTGAAAAAACCAATAAAGTATCTTTATGACAATATATTTACTGGGATACATGTAAATGTAGAAAAATTAATTGTATCAAAATATTTTTTTCATTGTAGACTGTATCCTGAATTAACACTTTGAACCTAGAAAAGAGAAAGCATATTTAAGTAACACCATGAATAAGGATACCACAACACAGCTTAAAGTGCTTCAATGCTGTCAGTGTCAGAATGACGTAAAATTCTACTGCAGACCATGCAAACAAAATCTGTGTATGTATTGTAAGCAAAAACACGTTGTACACCTCGATACCAAAGACCATGATGTTGTTATTGACCGTTTAAAGCACGGAGAGGTTATAACGCCAGAGTCATGTGACAGACATCCAAACTGCAAATATAAAAACTGGTGCAAAACCTGTGAATTTCCCATCTGTGATGCAAATTATAAGCATCAAGAACATGAAATTCTAGATATCAAATTAGCCTGCATGGTTCAAAGACAGCAACACAGGAAAAGAATTATTCAAATAAGAGGTGATAGTCTCCCATACAACCGTGCCATCCTAGCAGGTCTCGAATCTGACGTAAAAACAGATGTAAAAACCCTAAAAGCAAAACTTTCCAGCATTCAACAAGAGCTGGCGGTAAAAGCTGAAAACGTGAAAAAAAACTTATCGAGATACATAGTAAAGCAGGCAATGATGTATCTGAAACAAATATTTATACATGTTTTATTCTGAAACATAAAAAAATGAAGGGATATGTGTATAGATACGAGCAACTGGCAAACAAGCCTGTGAAGTTTCTATTGTTCATAAAGAAAACTCCTGTCCCCAAGGCAATAGAACTTCCTGATAACATAAAGAGTAATTTTAATACAGAAATCAGTATAAGGGACATTTTAGACGTATTAGTTGAAATCAAAATCACAGAAGCAGGAAATAGACAACTTAGAAATGAACATTTGTTGAGGCTACTGAAAGGGGCTATCCTAAATACTAAGCATGTTTATGTGACTAACTTATATCACGGTGGACACATTTCCTTTGTGACGTCAGATAGACTTTGGGTCAGTGATGGACGCAGTCTTATTTTGACCAATTCTAAAGGTAACAATCTGCATCGTTTATTTGATGTAAGTAAATACTTTGGTGTACATGTATACAGTAAACAGTGCAGGAGAGTTGATTATGTAGACGAAGACTGGAACATTAACAAACTTAGTGCAGACAATACTACAAAGTCGACACTAATAAAGAGAAAAGAACTATGGGAACCATGGTGTATCTGTCACTCTGCCTCTACTGGAGATTTGCTGGTCTTGATGAGATATGATTCAGATAATGCTACCATACCATTATCAGATGTGAAAGTCATTCGGTATAATAGTACACTACAACCAACCCAAACCATCCAAAACCACAAGACAGGCACACTATTATATAGTGAGCCTATCTATATCACGGAGAACCGGAATGGAGATATTGTCGTGTCTGATTCAATCAATGGTGTTGTGGTCACAGACCGTAAAGGGAAATATCGTTTCACTTACAGAGGACCACCAGAAGAATTTTTATTGGAATTTCTTATGCCACATGGAATCTGTGTGGATGCATTCTTAAATATCCTAATCTGTAGTCGATCGGACCATAGAATACACATGATTCACAAGGATGGTCATCTCCTATCAATTCTCTCAACGAAAGAAGCTGGGGTGATTGAACCATTGGGTCTGGGATATGACGAAAAAATTCATCTTGTTTTGATGGGATCAGGCCACAACAACATACTGCGTGTATACAAATTTATAGAACGACAAGATTATCTTGCATAAACTTTAATTAGCTAGTATTTTGCTGACTTGTTACATATCAATTGGTAAAACTTTTTGTGCTGAATTTGACTACAGAATGTTCTGTATAATTGATCAATAAATAGGGCTCAAGGCAGGTTATGACCGGTCAACAAGGGACGGTTACTCCTCCCAGGCACCTGATCCCACCTCTGTAATTTCCATGTCCCTTTTATGCGCTGCTCACAGAATTGTATTGTGAGTAGTTTTTGCGCGATCGATCACTGTTCGTTATCTTTACTTTTTTCACACGCACACACGTACACACAGACAGGGAGAATTTGAACTTATTGATATAGGAAGGATATGGAGATAACTATAATAATGATAAGATAATAATGATCTGATCCACGTACAATGAGAGTTAATATTTCTTTTTAATCATGAGATATAGAGATAACAAACAGTTTTTAATATCGTTTTATTCAACGAATACAAATCAGGGGCAGATCAAACGCTGGCCTTTAAAAGTTCAGAGGTGAGATCAATTCCATGGAGGAGTAAGCATCCCTTACCGAGCGGTAATACCTGCGTGTGCTCCTTGTCATAATCAGTAAAAAAGGGGAATCAAATTCGTAAAAGATTCAGCAAGAAATTAATTAGTGTGAAAAACGTCCATCGGCATACTTTTGTTGTTTGTTAAATTTTGCAAAATTAATAATGTTGTTAGAAATACAGCCAAGGAGATTTTGAACATTCTTCTTAATATAGATAATAATGATCTGATCCTCACACAATGAGAGCTAATATTTATTCTTATTTGTGAGATACCCGGGTATAGAGGTAACGAACATTATTCAAGCTAATTCAAATCAGGAGCAGAGCAAACGCGGGCTTTTAAAAGTTCAAAGGTGAGATCAATTCCATGGAAGAATGAGCATCCCTTACCGACCGGTAATACCTGCCTGTGCCACGTGTCATAATCGGTAAAAACGGGGGAATGAAATTCGTAGACAATGCAGCGTGTTAATTAGTATGAAACACGTCCATCAGCATTTGACTCTATATATATGATACTTATATGTATTGTTTGTAAATTTTGCAAAATTAATTCCTACACAAAACATCTTGTTGAATTGTTTTAAAAAGATTAAAATCCTTTAAAATCCTTTTTCAAATCAAAGTAAAGAAAGTAATCAACATCCTATAATTTTATTCTTTTTTTCTTCTTTTTTCTTTGTTAAATGGGTCCCAGGTTACATTGTAAAAGGATCTCATTTTCATATCCTTTCAAACTGTAACAAAGTATCATTTTTATTCAATGATAAAATGCCAGTATTTCACTGTTGAAAATGAAATAGAGTTTTATATGAAAAATCAGGATAAGAATAATGTAATATTGCTTCAATCAAAGCGTAGAGTTAGTTCTTCCATTACAAGTATGAACAATTGAAGTCAACTATCCTTTTTTTCTGATATTTAGTTAATGAAAGCTTTTAAATAGTTCTTCCATTTCAAATGTCGAACAATTAAAGTTAACTAACCTTTTTTTCTGTTTAGTTAATTGACTTGAAAAGTGCAGCTTATATTGCTTTATAGTAAAGATAACAAAACTAGAAAATAAAGAAATTATTTAGTTTTATGACACTTATTTTGTCAACCACAAAAAAGTGTTCAAGATTAGTTTGACAAAAATGTGGGGAAATATGAAGTTAATATTCAATCCGGATTTCTTTCTTCTGTCGAAAGTTCTTACGTAACTGCCTTTCCACGTTAAATACTCAACAAAAAAGGGTTATGTATGATATACTGTAGTTAAATTAAGGAAATTTCAATTCTGAAATTTATTATTATCACTTTAGAATCGCTTAGAGCTGTACCCTTTGTATCATGACTACATACATGTTCTTTGTACATTATTATTTTTACAGACAATACTATATGTGAAACATATGAGGATAACGAGCAGCATTTAAGATCAAATGTCTTTAAAACAATACAAAACAGGGGCAGAGCTAACACAGACCTCTAAAACATCAGAGGTGGGATCAGGTGCCATATATAGTTTTTTATTTCCTCAAGGTCAAAATTTGTTTTTCTGAAAATTTTAAATTAGAACAGGGAAGACTCCATTTGTCGTGTCATTTCGAAATCACCATTTTTAATAAACCTAAAATTAAAAGAAAAGTTCCACAATTAAAACATCAAAGAGCAGAAAGAGGAAATAAAGAAGAATTATCCTTTGTAAACTTTAAATTGATTTGTTTTATAGATAAGTTTTTTTAAATTGAAAAATTAGTTGTAAGCATTGTGAAACGTATCGAGATATTGTATGGATGCGAATTATGGGATGTGATCTCTAAAAAGTCGACCGAAGAGCTGGAAATTGTACAGAGATACGCGGCCCGTCGAATGCAAGGATTTGACCAAAGATCACCAACACTGTGTACCATCTGTGTACCATCTGTGTACCATCTTTTCCCTTGGCCTGGTTGAAATGAAAAGGAGTATAGATAAAATCAAGTTGATGTTCTGGAACAGACTCTGTGCATCAAGTTATTCTCTATTCTACAAAAAGCTTTTCATTGCAAGGTTGTGCTCTTTTGGTTCGACGACACCAAGACCGAAGCGTGGATTCATAGCAG